TTCAGGAAAGCTCAGTTACAGTTGGTGAACAAGGGTATTCTGGGAGAAAACTGTTTAACAGAATACACTGCTCTTCAACCATGTGCAAATGCCATAAGTGAAGTATCCCTGTTTTTAATACTTTTCCTAGAAGATGCTGTGGAAGACAGACTTTTTATTATGACTCTGACTTTTGTTATTCTAAAAGATGTGTTGAGCTGGATTAGAAGTGAGTCCTCCTTTCCACTCTCTGCAGGACATATTCCAAGATAGACTGAACCCATGACGGGGTAGTTACTGGTATCCTGTGTTCATAAGAGAAATTCTCAGCTGCCAGAACATGTCCCATAGAACCATTCCATCAGATGAGTTAAAACAGCTAAATACATGCTTTGGTTTGCAATGGGACCAGCTGAAATTTAGCAACTGTCTTCAACACAGGTTAAAGTATGTTCTGTGCTGCTTTACCTTGGTGGCTGATATGGTCCCATGGGGTCATTCAAACATGGAAATTAATGTGGTTAATACAGTCATACTAGGCACTTCCACAGTCCCAGCTATTCCACGTAGTAAATCTCTACTGCATCTGAATAAAGGGTGTCTGTACGTTACTTATGACCCACCTTTTGATCCTGTATGAATCTGCATTGAAAAAGAAATGAATGAAGCCCAGTATTAGGCTCATCATATAAAAAATGGAAAACGGATAGTCAGTCTTAAATTACAGAAAAATCAAAGTACTACAGTCTAGGAGTTCCATGTCAGAATAATCCAGCTAATACCTAATACAATTTTGGACACAGAATGCTTTGTCCAGAGGAACTAATTTAGTTGAAATTATTGTTGAATGCACTATTTACAATTAAAGGATTGCCTTATGCTGAAAAGTCTTGGCTGATATCTTAAAGCATAGCATGTGTCTAAGCTTTTATTGGACAGACCCTTAATTTACATTCATGGCAAACAAAAAGGGTAACTTTTGTTTAAGAAAAGTTTAAATTACATAGCTCAATTCTCTTCCTTTCACCTCACGGAGTCCCATTGCTTCTCAGTAATTCCAATGTGCAAACACCTCATGAACAAAATCTACTAAACCTTCTGCTGTTACTTGTTCAATTTTAACACCAGCATTATGGAAAAAGAGATCCTCTCATTTTCACAGGTTCAGCATAAGGACTGGATACAATCAATGCATGAGATTCATCCGATCAAACACAGATGCTTGGATATGAGCTAGTCATTTTAATCTCTGAATGCAGAGAAACAGGTGCTTCTTTGGCACAATTCATCTAACCCAGAAGTAAATAATTACATTTGTCAGATGACTCACATCCTACAAGGGCCCACTTCTCTTCATCGATTAAAAGGGAACCTCGGATGACTAGCTCAAATGCAGACCTCCAAAACTGGGTGAGAAGAATTCCTCCCAATAGGTCTCAGGGCTCTGACTGACCAGTGGGAATAGCTTGAGTAAGGATGACTGATATGGTTTCCATGTTAGATGACCACCCCACTTGGCTGCATGGACATCCAAGTTGCTCGTCAGTCAACTTTGGAAGCACTGTGGTTGGCACATGATGGACAGCTGGGCAGTGCACTTGCCGACCAAGAGACACTAACCTGGTCCTGCTCAGCAGTCAAGGCCCTCACTTAAAGCTATGTTTTGGAGGCTTAAGTGATACACGAGTAGTGGTAACGGTACAGATGGAGGGATTTTATTCTAGATTAGCGACAATCAGATCTATGAGAAGAACCTACACATGGCTATTACTTGTAAATAACTTAGAACTATTTCCCTATGTCCACATTTTATTGCCTTTTTTTTTTTTTGGCTTGCATATCATGCACGCTTTATTTTGTGAACTTTCAATGAGTACTTCTAGTCAAGAAGCACTCTGCAATGTGGGCCAGATTCTCAAAAATAGCCTACTAGATTTGCTTAAATTTAAACTCTAACTGCACACTGCAATATGCAGGATAACTAAATAGAGCTAATTTTCACCTGAAGAAAGTATCCCCTGTAACAAAAAAGTTACTCTAATTTCACATATACATTTGTGGCCTGCACAGAATTAATCTCACATTTAAAAAATGACACCCGTTGGTTTTTTGTTTGTTTTTAAATGAAAAAATTAGGACACGCCCCCCCACCCCCGAGCAGGCTCGGAATTGGAGCAAGAGCAAATAAAATGTTTCCAAAATGGGGAAAATGTAAATTTGATCAAGATAACTATTATAAAAGTGTCATACTGCACCACAACAACAACAAAAAAAGCTGTATAAACCCACAAAATCCTGGATTTACAATGAGTTTAATAAATGTCCTCACCCAAAGAGTCCCTTGTTCTTTCCTTTCCGGTTACCCAAACTCTTGTTTATATAAAAAAATATATCTGATTAATAAATGTTTTAATATTGTTATATTTTTTCTATTGAAAATATATTTTCAGTAGTGTGATAAATTTGGAAATTAATTTCCATGAAATGTATCCAGGTTGTGTGTATGTAACATACCGCTCTGCATCCACACTACCGGGAATGAATAAATGTACAAAGGAGAATTTAAAAGTGCACATACATGGTTTGGATTAGTTATGAGTAATTTTGAAACCCCATTAACAAATAACAGACTCATACCTCCTCAGTAATGTATTTAATTGTGAGAGAGGCTTCTTCCACAGATGTCACGTTGTTGGCCACGGAAGCAATGACAGGCAAAATGGATAACAAAATGATAAAGGTAAATCAACTTTTAAATTACACTGTGATTATAGTATTTTTAAAAAGGCTTCAGGTAGGTATGATTTTCTTTCCATAAGAGAACCTTTACCGAAAAATTATTCAGATGTAGAATCGGGGCAGAATTTTTCAAGTGACAGTCACAGAAAAGAACAAATGTTTTTTTCCCACTAAAGGCCTGTGATCCCGTGAAACGCATGTGCTTGTACAGTCCTACTGAGTTCAGCGGGACTACTCGTGCTGACAAAATTACCGTTGTAGCTAGAGTAGGACTGGAGCTGCTCTTCTTTAAACAAACTCATCAAGTTTACTCATCATTGTAGAACACCGGTGAATCCCAATCTTTAGAAAACTTGTTCCTCAGTTAAATCTGTTTCTTTTTTTTAATGAAAGAAAGGAAAATTTACTTAGTGCACTACTGTTATCCCACTTAAATTAATGCAGTTATTCCAACATAAAGTGACAACAGTGAATCAGGCCTAGCGTGTCTTACTCTGTGAACTGGTTGGAAGCATAATCTTTTCTGAGTTGCTTTCTGATTTTCCTTCTTTGCCACCGGTATACAATGGCAGCCTTTTCCAAGAGTTAGGAAATATATTTTGATTTACAAGTTGTAAATTAAGCAGTAAGTATCATTATGATTACATAAAGTAGTTAATTCATTTTGATATACACATATATTATACTAATTACCCAAATGCACATTTTAACAGAAGAGTTGTAATGCTTGAGTATATTGGAATGCCATGTAACTCAAAAATGTCCTCCAAACTATGTGTAAATCAACAAAAGCGTCTGCACCCAGTTTACGTGTGACATGCATGTAGATCTGCGCGTGACTTCTACAGCATGCAGACATGCGCTCGTTCCCCTGTTCCCAGTAGCGCATATCCCATGCAAAAGTTTGGAAATGTAGCCCAGCACGTCTGTGTAAGTTGTCTGAATAAAACATGAAAGCTGTAAGTCTTAGAGAGGTACAAATATTATGTTAGGCCTTTGCAGCCATTTTCTTGCATGTAAATATGGCTATTGAAGAGTTCTAAAGGTAATTGTCTTCGATGTCATTTAGATATCTGTACTTAAATGAAGATCTAGCCCGTCGTAACCAGAGCTCCATTTCAGCAGAGTCCGCTTTTTACTTCTAAAAGCAGTTAGAAGTAGACTCAAGGCAACATATTATTACACTGCTGTCCTACATCTCCTTTTCTGCCTATGTACAAGATAACTGAATACCGCAGTGTGTAACTTCCAGCATTAGTTGGTGGCTGTGCCACTGCCCTCAACTGGAGGATGATATGGCCGGCCTGCTCCCATGGGAATAAGCACACCACCCCACTGATGGCTGGCCCTCTAAGGTCTACTACCGCTGGTGGAAATTATGCTCAGTTCAAGCAGCGGAGGCCTGCATTTTTGGAACAGAAAGCTTTCTGAAGTCTATGTGGCCACGGTATAGCTGATAACCATGCTTTACACATGGTTATGGAAACGTTACAATCAGTTTTCCAGTGAATATTTGCCACGTAGTAGAAGCAAATGCTGAGTATTAAAAAAAAAAAAAAAAAAAAAAGGTGAAAGAAGGTCTAGGGTAGTGAAGAATCCCAAGAATGAACAAGTTTTCCAAGCTAATCTAAAATTTAAAGCATAAAAAGTGTCGAGTGCTAAAGTAATTAAAAATCAAGGACCTTAAGATTTCAAACAGATTTCTCTCACTATCCTCCCAATTATTCACACAATGAAAACTTGCTACATAAAATCATCAGTCATTTCTGCAAACAATACTAATGTTTTGAGGCACCGGCTTACCAGCATTTAAACTATTATAAAGTAATATAACGATAGGACCCATACATTTGGATTTAATTAAGAGATAAAATAAATACTTATGTTGAACTTCTTGATTGCACATTTGGTATTGGAAGTTACATGGTCACAGAACATGAAAGAAGTCAAATACTTTTGATCTACCAGCAAACTCTAAATACATAGATAAAGAAGCCACACCAGGCCAAATAGATTACTACTTTCAAGTAAGTTCATGAAAGTTTCCCAAATACTGTTATACAAAGTTACACATCCATGCTGAGTTATTCATCAATGTGTAGCGAGAGTCTTGCAGTAGGCCAGGATTTTATCGGCAGATAACTGGCGGAGGAGCTATGCAGTGTGAATAAAAATTCCAGTTTGGAAGCATTAACATAGAAGTACTTTTATAATCTGAACAGGAGACTGCAGTTCTTGAAGTTGGGAAGAGCAGAAGGGAAGAATGAGAATATTTTTCCATTTTAGAAATGCTGAGGCACAAAACACAGTTGATTCCAGTACTTTCATACATGAAATCCTTTCTCCTGTATGTGCATCATGTGTAACCGCAAAGTTTGTAAACTGCTGACTATTCGTCTCTGGTGTCCAATGAGTACAACTCCAATTCTTCTAATGTCACTGCAAGATAAAAAGTTTCATCTTGGATGCAAGTATAGTAAAGCCTCTTGCACACAAAAGTCTATAAATATATGATGAATTGCTCTCCTTCAGGACAGTTTACTTTCCTGACTGGGACATATAAGAGTGCTGCAAATGTTCAAGTTTTCTGCACCCATCAATTCCAAATTTATTTAAAGACAGCCATTTAAGAAAAAAAATAATCTTGTAGTTAGAGCACTGGTCTCTTGTGATACTAATGGTCAAGCAATTTTTCAAAATCTTGAGGAAGAACCTAAGAGGTGGGTTCTAACAGCCCATTTTTGGTAATGTGGCAAATTGTAGCAAATGTTTCCCACTTACACTTGCAAAGGAACAGGGCTGATACACTTTATTTTGGAATCCTGAGGCTGAAATAACAGAGGCTATGCTTCTGATGATTTGGTAAATGGTGGTGAAAGGTAGCCTAAAGATCAGAATAGCAGTGAATCTTCCAGCTCGACCCAGATTTCCCTCCCGATTTCCTGTCATCTCATCTAGACCTGCACCCCAGAGGGTGTAGCTCACCCACAGAGCCTGACTCTTTGGCAGGAATGAAGTCAACCGCCCGCAGTGTCCAGCACAATCCCCTAGTTTCGTTGTTCTCTAAACATCACCAACTGCAGTATGCTGAGAAAGATCACAGAGGTGGCGAAGGCAGGAGGCTTCAGATATGCCCTGTCAATGGTGCAAATCCCACCCTGGGACACAGCATAGACATCGCCTGTTTAGATACCCTCAAAATTTGTTTCACGATATAGCTAGTAAAGGAGCTCATGGGATGAGGTGTGACCATTAGGAGTTTCAGCTTTGCAGTTCAAGATACCTGGCTCTGTATCCTCCAGATGAAGAGCCACTGGATAGCAGAAACTATTATGTACTTGGGCTTAACATCCACGTGGGGGATGATACACAACACTTAAGGTCAGCAGGGACTATGCAAAAATATTGAGCATCTTAGAAGCTAGAAAGACTCAGGTAAAAGAATAAACCTTTACAGGGGGGAGTGGTATTAGAAATGCAGGAACAATGCATAGCACTTATCAAGGAAGGCCTGATAAAATTGAGAAAGAAGACAGCAGGCCTAGGGTAACAGAGGTTATTTGAAGAAAGAAGGAATCTTTCAAAAAGCTGAAGTGGTATCTAAAGAAAGAAAGTAGAAAGGATGATAACCTTAGGAAGATTATCTGTAAAAGCACAGTAAGGCAAGCTAAAAAAGAACTTGAGGAAAAACCAGAAAAAGACACCTGATAATAAAACTCATAATAAATCTTTTTGCAAGCTCACTGGAGTACAAGAAGCCTGCCAGAGGTCTGTAGAGTCTAATGATGATTTGGGTATAAAAGAGCACTGAAAGACTGGCCACTGGCCAAATTACTGAGACTTAACTGACCATTACCATTATTAATACAGATAGTCTCAGCATCAAATAAAAGATTAGGAATTAATGGGAAGGGAATAGAGAACAAAGTAGATTGTATCATTATGCTACCATATTAATCCATAGTATGCCCAAACCCTTATATAATGGGTGCAGTGTTTTAATTTTAAAAATGATAGAGGGGAGTCGGAGATGGTTGAAGAAGGGCAGCAAGGCATGGAACAACTTCCACATGAGGACTGACATGGGCTTGATGATTTTCACAGCAAAGTAAGAGAAGATTTTTGCCACTGATTTCAGTGGTCTAGATCAAAACGGATTCCTCAAGAAACATTTAAGGATGTTCTCTGCCTGACCTTTGGCAGTGTTTGGTATGGTCACAGAATGAAATGGTCAGTTCTGGGTCTCTTAATCACATCTTTCTCCTGCATCTTTTTGGTAAAAAACTGTATTTGTCTTTTATTAGCTTAGGTAGGAAAGGAAATGAAAGCACTGTTCCATACATCACAATAATTATGTCACTGCAGCATCCAAAGAAATTCAGATTGATTAGTCACTGTAGGGATAATAGATTACATACTTACTCAATACTCATTCTTGAAACCATATCCAAAGTTGTGAAACCTGCTGCCATGAAGTTATTTTTATACTGACCCATTTTTATGGAGTCCAGCCAGTCACTGACTGAAACAAACAAAGGATATTCTGGAACTTCACCAGGTGAATCTGGCATTCTGTAAAAACAAAATGCAGAGGTTACCAAAGCACTACAAAATACGACACTCGATTTACTCTGGTAGACACTGTTTTTATGAAAAGGCAGAAGGAATGAGAGAGGAGCCTGAGCTGTAAAGGTCTGATCTTAACTGTGGATCTCTTTAACCCATTGTCTAAAACTTACAAATCATGTCAGTCTGCCAAATTGCACTACTTTAACAATACATTTTTTAAAGCACTGCAGCTCAGTAACAAACTGAGGAACAGACCTCTCCCACTGCTCTTATTTTTGTTCCCACAGAGCATTTCTTTACAGATTTTATGTGTTCAGGATGATAATAATTTGTAAATACAGTAGTCAAAGTAGAGGACAAACAAAATTTAACATGAGATACAATTTAAAAATATTAAAACACTGCGAGATGATTTTTACATTTATCTACAAAAAAACCCCAAATGGCTCCTTATTGCCATACCGTTATGCAATGGGAATGCTTTGATTACAGTGTTCAAAACCTAAAACTAACCCTAAAAGAAGCAAAAAGAATAAAAATTTGTATCTTTGCTTTTACATAGAATTATATAGAGTAGCAAATAAAAATGAAGGAGCTTAGTCACATTTCTGTTTCAATTCTTTTCCCTAATATTATCACAACTGAAACAGAAAGGTGGGGAAAAAAAAGATTCCAATTTCGGGGCATATATTTCCAGTCTTCCATTGTGTACCATGCTGGCGAGGGCTCACAACTTCCATTGACTTTGTACATTTTGTGTAGAGAAACTGTAGGAACAGAATGCAGAAAAAGCACACTGCTGTTTGTAAAAGCTTTATGATAGCCTTTAGGAGAAAGATATAATTTGTTTAAAATGAAAATTTAGACAGCAAAAGCCAGCCAACATTAACTGATGGAACGTGACTTATGTAGAATGTAGGAAGCAACACACCCTAGTATCTTAACATACCGAGTTTCAACCACACATATTCAAATACATTAAACACACTGATTTTCATTCATATTGTCAAAATGACAGAGAGAGAAACTGAAGGACAGGAGAACACTGTGAAGTACAAACCTCAATTAGAGACCTACCAAGGTCCCTTCCAACCTGAATTACTCTATGATTGTACGATTCTATAGAATAACTGCTGACCTCGTAAGTTAACAGTAACACAATAATAATTCAGATTGACTGCATTAAGCATTCCCAAATGAATGGAAAGACTTTCCCAAGCAGGTGAGCTCAATAAGAGCTTGACTGCAAGAAAACAGGTGTAAGTTTTTAGATCTTAAGTAATGTTTTAAAATAAGAATAGATAAAAATGCATTACTCTGATGCTAAATGAAGTGACCCAGGTACAAGTAGCAAGTCACATATATATATTTATATGCACATACACATAGAGGCCACTAACTGTAGTGCACGGGCATTAAATCCAACAAGTCCCACTAGTTTGTGGTAGAGGAAATGGCTGTAGCCCTAACTGTACGTTTTCCTAGTAACCTCTCTATTCAGCCTTTCCCACATCAAGATACCAGCCTTAGTCTTTGCCCTGTTGCTCAGCCCTTCTCCAAACCATATGAAAAAACCTCTTAACCCATTGAGGTTCTCAGAAAGATCCACCCAGGCATTGAGAACCCCTTATAAACCCAGGGGAGTCTCCATGAAAGCACCTTTATCTTAAGGTGAATTTCAGCTAATGAAGAGAGTGAGGCCAGTTGGACTTTCACTGATATACAGGGACACCTTGGATCAGTAAGCCTACAAAAATTGATAAATTCTTCCACCACAACCTTGCTTCTCCTGTGGCTGCATTCATTTCTGTAATATTATTAATGGAAAAAACTTCAGGCAACACCATCAAGAATTTGTTGTGGAATGGTAATAGCATAATCTCTTATTTGGTCACTGTTGCTGTTCTTCTGCAGCTAAATAAAGATTTAGCAAGCTAAGACACAACTACTTTCTGCAGAAAATTACTCCAAGGCAGTTCAGAAATTGCTTGAGCACTGTCAGATGGAGAGACAGGCTGTTGAATAGAGAAAAAGATTACAAAGAGAAAACAAGCACACAGGAGAAGCACCAAAAAAAAAAAAAAGAACAGAGAGATTCACAAAGATTAAGGATAGACAGTGCACAAACAGATCTCAGACAAAAAAAAAAGAAAAATGCTTAATATAATCTGCATGGCTTGAGAAAAAAGTCCTTATACAATGGTGTATTAACAATAAAGCAAACCTTAAAAGGGGCTCAAAGTTATTTGAACCCTCATAACGTGAATTCAGAACTCTGCTGCTCTCCCCCACCCTTACTTAATGCCCTAAAACATCTAATGATAGCCACCATGCGTTATACAAGAAAAAAGTACCGAACAGAGTCTTACACAAGTACGTCCTCCACTAGGGTATGAAGGGTGCTCGGATTGCGGATCAGTTTGTCTAGGAAGCTGACAATGTCACTAAATTTTGGACGGTGGTTCCTCTCCTTTTGCCAGCAGTGAAGCATTAGTTGGTGAAGAGAAGCTGGGCAGCCCATGGGAGCTGGAAGCCTGTAGCCTTCTTCAATAGACAGTATAACCTAAAGAAATACAATGCGTAGGATTACTGGGCATTAGAGTTGAATGCTGAAAGGACAGTGTAAAGCTGACAATTAGAAACCAGTGATAACAATTAATGGCACAGCCACCCTCACTTTATGCATTGCTGGGGCTTCACTCAGGGGATCAGGACTGGCAGGAATGCGACCAGAGGAGATGAGCAGTATTTTGTAGGCATATGAAACACAGTAGGCACTTTTTTAGGCTCTCCGGCCATCCTCTTCAAACAGCCAAGAAAGGAGGGGAAGAAGGAAGAACTAACCAGTATCACTATCTTTTTCATCCATTTCAGGTTGATGTTGTGCTGAATGGGGTCACAGGGCCACAAACTAACCTCGTATGGCCACTGCATACTGGGATGCTCTAATATTTGCATCCTGACAAAGTCTTAGCGTGTGGCAATGCCACGATACAATCAAGCACTACAAATGCACATTGCAGCACCTGGCAAATTTACTTGGTGATAATATGTTTCTGCTGATCGTTAGAGTATGATTAATTCAGGCAATGTCCCACACACAAGTCACAGCAAAGCACAACATTATTTTGTACAGCCTCTCTCAGAAACCTGGATGTCCAAGCTGTTTATGACTAAACAAAAGTTAATAAAATTATGGTGTTACTGTATACCCTAAAGTGAGTAAAACTTTCAGATTCAGCAGATGTGGAAAACGTGTTTGGTCAGGATTTGGAAAGAAACAGACCTGATGTCACAGATAAATCACGTGTATGAAAAATTACATTTGATCAGATTTGAAGGGAGGCTTGTTTTTAGTAACACTGATAACAAAAAACATCGTCTGAAAAGGACATTAGCAGCCCTGCGTAGTAGGAGGTACCAAAAGTAGGTAAGGTCCATGAAAAGCTGGCTGGATTCATTCTATGTAAGATTTAAAAAACAAGAGGAAAGGTTACTAGGTTCTGCAGTGAGTGGTGGTAGCAGTGGGGATGATGATAGAAATGACATAGTCAGGATTTCTTGTATATAAAAGAATGGAAAGACAGTAAGTGGTTGATCAAAAACAAAGCTAGGAAAAAGACCAACCCTACCACACACACATAACCCTTAAAACATAAAATCCAACCAATGCTAAATGTTCTCTAAAGTACAAATGATTGTACACAATATTTATAATAACACAGTGCACTTACGAGAAACATACCTACTGCATTTATACCCACTCTGCTTTAAGGAGACATTTATCATTTTCACACAGATGTATGTACATGCTGCAGACATATTAATGCAGCTGGAAGGGAGTACATTAAACTGTTTACAGCAAATCAATGTTTTACAGCACTAGCTGTAGCTTCAATATATTCAATCTTATTATCCTGGAATATATCCTCGTTCTCTTTTTGAATTCTGAATTAATGTTGTTGGCTCTGTTTAGCAATGCCTAATGCTTATGCTGCAAGCATTATGCAAATAAACAAGAGTAATGAAGCTACATTAGGACCTTAGTTCCCCTTCATGGCATGGTAGAAAATGGAACAAGACTCTTGTAGCTGCACACAGCTGGGTGTCTGAGTTTTATAAAATGAGGTGACTTGGTCCTATAGTGTATAGCCCTCTTGTATCCTGGCAGAAACACCTATGCATGAAAAACAAGTGTTTGCAACGCGGCAGGGAATTGGATTTGCACGGGCTAAGTTTCAGACCCATCGGCAACAGCACTGGGAATTACAGGCTACACCAAAGGCAGCATTACTTGCCATAGAGATCTCTGAATTTTATGCACCTGTGAGTATTGACAGAGCACATACGTGCAGACAGGACTGGCCACGCACATACAGAGATGATATCTAGCAGTAAATGATATGCCAATATGATAATCCTTCCACCTGCCTTTCTGGCTACTTGTTTATCTCCCTGGGATTTACTTCAATGGTCCAAAATCCAGGCTGCCGAAATGGCTGCTGTAGGAAAAAATACCATCAGATTGCCAGAGAAATATTTCCTCCGAAGCCTTGCCTGCTAACGATGAATACGCCCCCCAGATTGCTCCTGTTACAGGCTCGGGATGGGTGAAATTAAACCCCACGTGCATGAAATTTTATTCACAAAACTGTCAAAACTCATGTATCTCAAGCAGTCTGTCCAAAATGGCTTCATAAAACACAGGTACTTGTTACAGTGAGGGGTATAGCTTAGTTGATACTTGTCACTGAAGAGGCAATCTTTAGCAGCCCAGAAATGCAATCATCATAGTCTTTACATTTAACTGTACCTGTTGCAAATGATGACTTTCTGAAATGTATTTTGTTTTTAAGGCTAAGGGAAAGCTTCTCTACTTTTATGAGACATATAGCACTTGCTCAACACAACAATAGAGAGCTGATGAGGTTTTTCTGAAATAAATTATTCAGGAAAAAAACAAAAGCAACCACAATTTTCCAGATAGTATATTTTCTCTGACACGCTCTATTTTACCATATATTTGGAAAAGAAGTTACAGTGCATTTTGTTTCCTCTCTTGTTCAGAAGGAACATTTCATGAAGAGAAATGCCAGCTGGTACTGGGATAATTATAATTCCTCATTAATACCAGCACATTTTAAAAATAAACTGCAAATATTGCCTCATTAGTATCCCTTGTGAAGCAAGTATTATTTTTAGAGTCTCAGAAGCAAGAGTAAAGATGTGATAAGTGTCTAATACTGCAAGGGGAATCAAGTCTCAAAGGAAGAATTAGAGCTTTTTAGTTCCTTATTTATTTATTTATTTATTTTAGCTCTGCGTTGCTACTTGCACAGCACCTCTCTCTGAACAGAGAAATTGGATATCCATATACCTAAAAGGGAAGAAGTATTAGATTTTTCTTGGTGAAAAAAAATTATATATTATATAGTGTATAAAGATTATACATGTTAACATTTTTTAAATGCCTTTTTCCTTGCTGGTTTAAAGGTTGGAGAAGCACCACATTAATCGTGAAAGGGTCTAAACGTCTATATCTACAAGAAGGATATAGCAACAGCTCTAGCAACCAGCGTAACTCTTTCCACATTGGCAAATCAATGTCCCATCTATTTCAACCTGAAAGAATAGGAACGTTAACTTAGTTTCTATTCACATGAAGCCCTGAGTCTGCTAACAAAAAGGCTGATTACTGCTCTCTAGTTCTGGTTTTGTGACGAACGCTTGATGGGTATCAAAAGGAAGAAAACATGCAAATATTCTGTGCTGCCATCAAACACTGAGAAAGAGGCTGTAGGTTTCTTTTCAGCGATGACTATGTTTAAAACTCATTAGAAGGTCTTGCGGGTCAGTATTAGGGTGAGTAAAATGGGCAGGGTGTATTTTTACAGGTAATGCTTTTTGGCAGGTGAGAATATAAACTCTAAGGGAAAGGGGGTATTTTTTACAGTTAACATAGCTAATTATTTCCATGCTTTTTAATGCTTAGGCTTTTATGTCTATAAAGGGGACCATTCTTTTTATATATTTTTGTACGCAGATGATATTAAACACTGGAGCCTGTTAAATATATTTTATCATTTTTGTTTGATGTTAGACATAGCTGTAAAGGTTGAAGACAGAGTTACTATTAAATAGTAATTATGATACCAAAATTATGTGAAAATATTTTATGGACTTCTACATAAAATTTATGCATGTTTAGTTTCAAAATAATTTGATATTGGCAAAAATGGCATCTGAAAATTAAGCTGTAATCTTCTGATAGTTTCATTATTAACAGTAACATAGATTTTTGCTTTCGAAAGTTAACTGACAGACTTTTTAATGAGACTGAGACAGAAGAAAGTACAGAGGGATGTTGTCCCTGTGTCCTGCTGACATCTGAAAAATCTACCAGGAGGGAGAGGCAGCTGCTCATGCCTCGTGGTATGGAGCCAGTCCCAGGTGCCTGCCAAGTGTTTTGATATGTATGGGTTGAAAGAACTGTATTAGGGTAAGTTATTTTTGCTATTACAAGAAACTTTCATAAGTGCAAGGACTTTTATTGTGTTTGCTACAGTAGTTTTCTTGCATATTGATTACAATCCATTAAATATATTTTTTTTTTTTTAAATGTAGTTCTGCAACATGCACTAATTTATAAAGTGGCCTCTAACAGGTGTCCCAGTAGACTTCACTCACAGCTGTTCTACAGACCAAATGCATGGAATATAAATCTTCCTTTCCTCACATAAGCATTAGCAAGCCAGGCTCTTAGTATAATCTGTTCATCAGTACACTAGTTTCCTTGGAAAGTTCAATATCTCAGCTAATATTTATTAATTAAGCGATAAGACATGACAGACTGTGCAGCAGCCCTAATTAATGGACACCTCTGGTGCCTGCCACGCATCTAAGAAGTGCATTAATCAGCACCAACACAGGTCTGAAGTGACTTACCACAATAATAAAATGGTTATTTACTTAAACAAGAACATTTCTCAAAGTTAATAGCATTTTTAAGACTCTAAATTATATCACGTACAGTATTAAAAAATTTATGAGAGACATTTTCAAACTCAGTTGCCTAAAGTTCAGCTTCCAAATCCCTGCTTAGGAATATAAATAGAGGACGCTGGATTTGCAGAAGTGTTGGGTCTCTCTGGCTTGCACTGACCTGATGCGTACTTACAAATAGTTGTCGTGTCTGAAAATCAGACTGGGTTTATTTAGGTGACAGGTATCAGTTTAACACTTCTCTTTGCATCAGCTCGGACTCTGTGCTACCTGTGCTGGCTCCTTGTGCTTTGATTTCCGTGACTGAGGGGCTGGACAAGAGACCCTCGGTAGACTTAGTCAGCCCTACTGCTCATTTGACTGAAGATGTGTTCACATGGCAAATAGGCACCACATCAGACAGCGCTGAACTCACCTCTCCTAGCATTGCCTCCCTTTTGGTAGGGGTCGGCATATCATTGGCTTCTATGTCATGCATGCAAGAAATGAACATTTAACTGGCAGCCACTCAAAACATCACTTACTTAGCCGTGGTCTAAAAAAGTGAATTAATTTCCCAAAGTTGTTTCACTAGAAAAGCAATTTGTAAAATGGGATGTGAAAAAATGGCTCTGTGGAGTTTATGCTTGGAAAACTTTTGGTACTTTACAAAACCCCACCCGATTCAATAAATATTTTATTGCTAACTAGAGAAGAGTTTTGCCGTGATCAAAACACAGTAAGTGTTGTAACGTTAATGTTGCCAGACATTTTGTTGTAGCAGAACCTCTGACTATACTTATGTAAGACCTTATCAACAGTTGTTTGCATAATGTCTTTTATGAATCTGTTTAGTGCATGCCCCTCTCTGTTACTTTCCCTGCCATATGTACAGTATCACTGAGCTTTGGGAAAGTCTATTATTTCTGCGAAATAAGCTCATGTGAATTCAGGGTAATTTATTGTACTAAAACATATGTCCCAATATCCAGCAAAGGAAACTTTACAGTATGTCTAATAACTTAAAATTTCCCAATGACATTTAGAGTCACTAAATGTATTTAGAAGGTCACAGGCGCTCACTGTTAACATTTCAGTACTGAAAGCCTGTGGGTAGGGCTCCAGAGAAAGGGAGTCCTTTGTGCTGTGTGTTGCTGAACTGCAGGGAAAGCCCCCAGGAGTCAGCATCATTAGCATAAGCAGCATCCATAGGGCCCGCATCATTATTTTGTATTAACAGATACTTCTGTTTTGGATGTAGGAGTAAATAAATGTTGCTATCTTCATGCTGTAGCAGAATATTTAATATACTCTAAACGGAGGGGTCACTTTATGAATTCTCGCTGCTGGCGTAGCCTTGAATAGATCCGTCGTAGGGTCTGATACAGGTGAAGAGGACAGCTGAAGCCACCTCAAAGAAAGGGAAAGGCAGCTGGAATGAAGGTGTGTGTTGTGCACTACTCTCACCTGGCGACTGGGACTCTATGTGAGGGTCCTACCAGTCATTCAAACCCTCTTCCCAGGAGGTGAATAGTGGGGCCAAACGGACTTGATAGGAAGTCTCTCTCTCCCCCCATTCCCAGTTAGCGGTAACAGCAGTGGGAGAGTCAGGAGGTGGGCTGGTAATGGAGCCGGTGTGAGGAGAAGGATTATGATTACAGGAGAAGTAAAAGAGATGATAGCAGTTGGGTTCTTCATAGAGTGTTGACCCAACACCAGATGAAATCACTCACAACTGGAATAGAGACTGAAATTCCCCATGTTGTAGCACAAGATTGCATGACAGTGGGACACGATGATACAGCAAAAAAGCATCTTCTTCCCCCCACCTCCTTAAGCTGCAGTCACTACCAGCTGCCCATCACCTGCAGCTAGATAAGCAGATTGGCAAGATGAGGGGCAGAGGCAGAGTTACGGAGAGGTGACATTGCAGTTGGAAGCACTGGCACTGCACAGAAGCCAGGCACCATGGTAGGGCCGACTTTGTTCAGAAGTATCTCTGGCTTCATGGGCTTCTTTAATCTCTAAAAAAACCAACCATGAATGGGGTGCTGCAGAGGGAAGGCAGAAATGAAATACCAATTACATGGTGAGGAAAACCAGGCAAAAGAGTACTGCCCACGATACGCTCAGAGGATGTGCCAGTGGCAACTGACAGGGGCAACAGCAGAAAGGACTGTGAGCCAGTTCTGCGTTTATGACAGTGCAGTCCCTCCACCAGGCAGTGCTAATGGGGATGGAAGGGAAAAAGTAACTGCCCAGTGGGCCTTGCTTGTCAAGGTACACGTGGACGTTTTACCTACTACTCGGGGAGCGTTGAGTGGACAAGTTTGTGCCCCAATGGGGCACAAACTGAAAATCATGAAATTCCATCAAAACGTAAGAAAACACTTTTCTATTGTGCACGTGACTGAGCACTGGCACAGGTTGCCCAGAAAGCTTGTAGAGTCTCCATCCTTGGAGATACTCAAAACCTGATCGGAGACGGCCCTGAGCAAACTGCTGTAGCTGACCCTGCTTGAGCTGGGCGGGGTGGACTAGGCAATCTTGAAAGGTCCCTTAACCTCAGCTGTTGAGTGATTCTGTGATTTGCTAGTACCTTTTTCCCAGTTTCTTGTTCTGTACAATCTCCCATTAAAAGGCGTCTCACAGTGAAATTAACCATTGCATCTATTAGTTTGGGAAGGCAGAAAATTTGAGGCTATACATGCATTTTGATACAAAGTGCATTCCATGCAATGCAGAGTAATCAGGTTTTGCAACAGCATACTAATGATGAACAGGCCGATACTGCCATGGCTGTGTTCAGCTTTGCTTCTGAACAGATTAGCTCAAGAATAGCACCCTCTGCTATTGCAAGGCTGAAGTGATGTCCCAGCTCCTTAGAAATCAGCTCCTAATCACATCTTACAATGTGGCTTTTTTAAGGAAAAACAATGGCAGTTTGCCTTTTGCCTTAACTCCTTAGAAATCAGCTCCTAAAACACCACATCTTACAATGTGGCTTTTTTAAGGAAAACAATGGCAGTTTGCCTTAAATTGGTGTTTGTAATCTGTGGCAGTTCAGGAGCTGATAAGTGGCTCTCAGTTTGGGCAAGGTGCTGAGGCTGCGATGCTCATACTGTTGTTCGGAGTCTGCTTGTTCATTCTCTTTTATTAACTTTGAACCCATTGGCCCACTTCAATCAAATTAAACAAGTTGTGTAAGAATCAGCAGCTGGGCAGAGGCATAAAGTTGGTTGTAGGACATACTTAAATATATGAGAAATCTATACACAGATGATTTCACACTGTGCCCTGGGGAAAAAATAGCCTTAATTCAGTTGTCTAAGCTTAGGTGTCTAATTTTAGACTCCCTAGAGTATCCTGTCTGGCCTTCAGCTGTTGCTCCAGAAGGACCCAGGTCTCCTGCATGTCCTGTGTCAGCCCCATGTGGACATCTTCATCACTCTAGAGCATCTCAAATGCCAACAGATTGCTAGCTGTGAGAAACAGAATTGAGCCTACTGGGCTTATCTGCTTATTTCACAGTAGATCCATGATGTGTTTATAGTTCAGATAGTACCAAAATAATGTCTCCACTGAAAAGAAAAGGTCTATCTCAGCTCAGTGGTTGCTTGTTCTCTTCAGATGGGCAACCAGCCCCCACTGCCTGGTCAATCAACAGAAGCATAGCTCAAAACCAGGCACAGCATGTATCATCCCATACCTGGTGTTAATTAAGGAGCACAGCGGGGAGCTGGGCTGCTGGCAGGTAGACGTGTGGAGCAGGGATGGAGGCTGTAGGCATTGTCAGGGGAGAATGATGTACAGAAGAGGTGGTCTAATTCCAAAGGCTAAACTCACAAGAGAAATGCTGGAGAGAAGTAGGATTATAGTACTGCTGAGACTGTAGAGTACAAATCTATAGGAAATAAGGCTTTATTAGTTCCGCTATTCTTTTCTGTTTTGGGTGGGTTTGGTTGTTTTTTTTTTTTTTTCTTTTCTTCCTGAAACACTCTGAAATGATGTTTTTTTAATGAAAAGCTCTCTCAGATCCTTATCCCCAAATGACTGATCAGCCTTAACAAGCAACCAGACTTGAACAGCTGAATAACTTAGCGACAATATAAAAACAGCCATCTGGGAAAAGTCTTGTCAACTTTTCAGAACCAATGCAGAGGTATTCTATGCACATATATGAGAGAGGTTAAGATAGGTTCGCTGATATTCTGCATTTTGACATAGAGATTGATGGCTGGTGTGAAGACTGAGTATACCCGTTTGAGTTGTCATGGGGATCCATCAAACAAGAGAATTAGTGAAAATTTAAATTGTGGAGAAGAAAGCATTCCCCCTTTCCCATGCTTCATTTTCTAGGACAAGCTAGAAGCAAATGTGTTTTTTTAATTGGGAAGGCTTATTTGGCCACAACTTTTGCAAAAAAAAGTCAGAGGAAAACATAACTTTGTTATGAGGGAGGACTATTGTCCCACACTGTGGTTAAGCCTATACATAGTTTTGAGGAAAACAGAATACATTTAATTCTTAGAAAGGAGAATTGGCAAATACATTTCTCATGGCAGCTTAACTCTTTTAAAATTTAACCATGTACGCCCATTGAAGGGTACTGTCAGACTGTACTGGAGATAATGGGCCAACTTTATCATTGGAATAGTTCCAGTATTCCCTCAAGTTTTGATTTATAGCTTGACTGAGAACTGCATCAACTTGCATATCTGATGCAGATTCCCAGGGATTTGGGTGAAAGCCACATATAGTCAGCATCAGAACCTGGCAAGCTGGCTATGACTCTTTGTAACATGTCTTTAATCCATGGGAGGAAGCTAGTCAAGGTTTTAGTTAGAGAGGGCTAGGTCTTCAGGTTTCATAAGTTAACTATCCCACTGAAGTTGATAGAGTTATGCTGATTTAAATAAGCTGAGGTTCCAGCCTAGAAAGTGAATGAGAAAGCAAAACAGGGCAGGAAGTGGCAATAATTTTCAAGAAACGTTTCAACAACTAGCAGATTAGTCCTCGGCAGTACTTACATCCTGGTTGGACATCTCCCAGTATGGTCTCTCACCATAGGACATCACCTCCCACATTACAATCCCGTAGCTCCACGCGTCACTTGCTGAAGAGAACTTCCGGTAAGCTATAGCTTCAGGAGCGGTCCATCGTATGGGGATTTTTCCACCCTGGAAAATACGTTGACAACTTATCAATACGACCAGAATACAGAACAGCAAATGTTTAAAAGAAAAGAAAAGAAAACAAAAGTTATCCTGGATGCTGAGATTCTACCTTCTGCCTTCTGTGAATTTGCCTTGTCAATTTGCTGCAAGTGGAAAGGAAGAAATATATCTTTTTCAGAATTTGATAAAAATTTGGTTTAATTTGTAGTCTAATTCACCAAAAACAGCACTTTGTGAAAAAAGACATCTCAGTTCAAAGAACAGAAAGCATTTTAGATGTTTCATGTTTGTTCAGAGTGATATAATTAGTCAGAACATGCCTTTTGATTGAAAACATCCCAAGCCTGAAATTCCTAGTACATTGACATTTAATCTCTTTTTCCTTAAATGAAATACAAACATCTATTGCAAAATGGAGCACTGAAAGCACTTAATAAAATTATGTAAGCAGAAAGGAAACTATAGCCTTTCTATTATTCTTTACTCTTGATAATCTCTTTAAATTTTTGTTGTGCCCTTTAAATATCCAGGTAAATAGCAAACCAAGTGTGTTCTAATAGGCGTTTCCTTAGGATATTGAATAGTTTCGTTCTGCAGCTTTCAACTTAAAGTCCAAGTGCTACCACAAAAAAAAAAAAATCTGTAAGAATTCAATCAACAAACCTGACATACTCTTTACAAGACCACAGTATCCAGAATTTTTCTCTGACATTAATAATTTATACCATTGAACCTGGTCTATTCTCCCATAAATAGTTTATGTATAAAAACTGTTTTCCCTTTTCACAGCAAAGTATTTCTTCTCCAGATACATTTCTCTTTTCAAAAGTATACATTTATTATCATTCTCCATATAACTCTTTAAATAAGTAGAGACAGAGAGTAGTATGCTGAAGGTGCCACTAGATGGTAGAAGGAGGCAGTCAGTAGAGCTGAGCTCACTTAGCAGTAGTTGCTTTCAACAAGCAGTAATAGATGCTGCTCGGCATTATAATTGTATTTCTGACAGCAACAAAAGAAGAAATGAACTAGAACATCCATTTGGCAATTGAAGAGAAGCCACAGTTAAAAACAAGTATGTAAATCTCAGTTAATTTGCTTTGAATATATAAAAAATTGTCTGCAAGTTGTTGAGGCCTGACTTCAACTGATTGAGATGATGCTTGTTCTACCAAAAAGTCTGTGGTGATGTGCCAGTAAGCTAACCTCTCATCACTGAGCCTCACCTGCTGATGAAAAATGTATGGTTAACATTTATGTTGTATGATAATTAAGCTGTCCTTTGTATGATGTTACATTTTTTGCAGCTGCTTTTTTAAAGCCTTTGCTTGCTCAGTTGTGGTTGAAGTCAGGGGGAAACCACCTACTGATTTTAGCAGTAGTAAGGTAAAGGTAATACTTTATTTTGTGTTCTTGCCCAAGCACCCTCCTACCCCCTTTTCTTAATCCAGTAACCTGGTGGTCAGATCACTCCCCTGGCATGTCAGAGATGCAAAGAACTTTATGTCCCAACTGCGGCCATCTCTGAGCCTGCCCTAGCCAGCACTGCAGGGTGTGATGCTGTTAGTCCCTTCCTGGTACAGCTCTTCCACTTGGGAAGCAATTACAAGTATTTTTGGGTATGAGAATGGAGAAATACGATGACAAAGAGATTTATGATAGGACATTCTCCAGGAAAAGACCAGCCTAATTTCTTTTCTCTTCCCCCCCCCGGAATATTTAAACCTTCTAAACAAATTGGGTAAGACCATTTGGTGTTTGATCTCATGGTCTAGTTGCAGTGGTGTTTTGGTGGGATACGTGAGCCCAAGCTTCCAGAGGCAGTGGAAGATTTAGATATTCAGTGCCCCAAATGTACACTACACACTGGGCTGTCCAACCAATAGGATGTGTCCTCTGAGAAACAGACAGTTTTAGGGTCCAACTGCAGAGTATAGTTCAAAATATCTCCTCACACCACAGAGTTAAGGGCCTTATCCTTTTTACGGGTCAGGTTTAGTCCTTTATTTTTAAACATTTTATTGCCAAACTTATGTAATGCCATCCTTAGATCCCTGGCTTCTGCAGATTTTTGAGGACAATCAGTATTTTCCTGGCCTAAGTCACAGGGTCATGGTAGGCATTTAACTCCTCCTTTGGACCTGGACACATGCACTTTGAAAAAGGTAAACAACATTCCCGCTGATCCCTATCACAAGAGACACTGCCCTGACAACCCTAAAAGCCCTTCCTCATCAGCAGCCTACCAGTCCTGGCTGGCAAATGATATAGAAGATGATACACTTGATCCAACACAAGAGTTCACTGTCTAAACCTTGTCTTACCAAGCAATCCCCCTTGCTGCCTTTTGCTTTATGTCCACTCAAGATACTTTCTGGAGTGCCGCACCAGCATCTGAGGGAGGATGCAAAAGAAAAAATTCCATATTTTCTTTCCTTGTCACAGATCTCAGGAGATGACAGGAAAAAAAGTCTACCAGTTTAGATAGCTGTGTTACTATAAGACTTTGTTTATCAAGACAAACTGATGAATTAACAAATTTACTATGAGCCAGATTTCTAATTTGGAGGGTTTTATTAATCATTTATTATTTTTTGAATTTTAATGAGAAGTCTTATGTTAATAATTAAATATTTACTTGTAGGGAAAACACAAATCTATACATGCAAAAAAAAGGCATTTGGATATTTATAGATTTTACTTTTAATGTCTATAACATAATATGGATAACATAATAGGAAAATTATTTTTTAAAGTGTGTCCTTTTCATAAATCTGATTATGTATTCCCAAATTATACTCAAAAAAGAGGTCATAACTGGAGCAGCATTTGCAGCTAGATTTGTGACTATTGGCTAAATATAAATGAGTTTTAAAGAATCTGATTAGACTCTACAACTAGTTTTGTGATACAGCTTTACTGACTGATCCCTTTTGGACTGAAACAGTAGTGGCTCATTGAGTGTGAAAATGAGACTGGAGAACAGACTCTTAACAAAATTCAAAGCAGTTCACGTTCAAGGGCATAAGATGTGTTCAGTGTTGTAATGTAAAATAAAATTCATTTGTGCTGGCTCTAATGACAAAGTGAAGCAAAACCTCTAAAATTTATACAATGGATTCGTCTTACATATGAAGATGTTATATTCATAAAAATGTAAATGTCAATACTTAATTATGTTTGCAGAATATCTTTTTATGCAAAAAAGTTGTTTTATTTATTTGAAAGCCATTCAAAAGGCAGAGATTGCAATATGACTACCTTAAGAGATGTATATGACTGAACAGTAGTAATAGCTGCTCATGCATAATAAAAGAACACATAAGGCTTAGAGCAGCTGAAAATATATTTCCTGTTTCTGATTAGAGTAATAAACAGTGTTACTAATGTTGGACACGTCTTTTTACATTTTAATCAAACTGGGAAAATAATAAATGAAATACTTACTGTTTATACAATGCCCCACCTTCAAATTAGGATAAT